GCAAGGGGAGAAACGCCAGATGTAGGTGATGGGGAGGAAGGCAGCAAATCACACTGCCACGTGTGTACCTATGCAACAATTTTGCATGTTCTTCACATGTACCCCAAAACATAAAATGCAATAAAATAAATAAATGGGAAAAATAAATAAATAAATAACACAGCCCTTCCACTCATACATTGAAAGTCCATGATAAAATGTAAATGTGTCATCTGGAAAGAGATGGCATTAAGACAGTATCAGCCATCACCATATGATAAGCCATTTTCATCCAGGAGGACTTACCTTCAGGGAGCTACAGAGTCCCCAGGAGCAGCATTTGCCAGGAAGAAAAGGACTGAAGCAGGCATTATAAATCAAATGCCTATGGAAGCTCGGCAAAGAGCATAAATAAATGAGGAGAACTGAGTGGGAATTGTGAAAAAATTGAAAGCTACTCATCCACTCCTGCTAGTTGTTGCCTTTGAGGAATGTAGGCCCTGCGTTATCCTACCTTTAGATTTTTTCCAAAGAAATCTAAAAATCTGTAAAAACTCTTGATTTTAAAATGTTGATTCAAAATCGTTTAACTTTGTAAAAGCCAAATATGCCTCCACATCAGAGACATCTGTAGGACACCAAATTTGAGACCTCTAATGTGTGGCACTGTGAGGCCAAGGAATAAAATATAGGGAAGGGTGGCACATGGCAAATGGGATGAAGGGTACAGCGAAAGAGGATGGAAGTGGCTCAAACTGTATCTGAGGTTGGCTCTATTGAGGGAAATCAGAAAAGCAAGCAAGCTTGGAAGTAGAAAGACATTAGAACAAGGGTTCTATTAAAAGAAAAACTTTAGCTGAATTAAATTTAAAAGGGTGTAATTGAGCAAGGAACAATTCACGAAGCGGGCAGCCTTCCCAGACAGAGTAGGCTCGGAGACTCCAGCGCAGCCACATGGTGTAAGAAGAGTTATGGACAGAAAAAGGAAAGTGACATACAGAAAACAGAAGTGAGATGCAGAAACAGCTGGATTGGTTACAGCTCAGCGTTTGCCTTATTTGAACATGATTTGAACAGCTGTCCACCTTGGCCACAACTTGGTGATTTTCACAAGAGTAAGCTGCAGTCTGTATAAAACTCCATTTAGGTTATAGTTCACGATGAACAGAGAAACCTTTAGACTGAACTTAAAATATGTAATGAGGCAGCTTTAGGCTAACCTTGGTTTAACAATTCTAAATCTTCTCTGGGGTCATGTGTTTTCAAACTTAGATGCAGAAAGACATTAGGACAGGGGTTCTAAATAGTTTCTGGGGTTATGTGGGCCATATGAGAGTCTGATAAACATTTTAGAGATTTTCACTAGAAAAATAAACATACATGTAGTGGACAGAAAAATGGCTTCCCAAAGATGTCCATGTCTTCATCCTGTCCCTCCTCTGCCACCTTACGTTATGTGGCAAAAGGGACTGTGAAGATATAATTAATGACCTTGAGGTAGGGAAATTATCTGAGTGAGCCCAATCTATTCACATGAAACCTTAAATCAAAAATGTTTCCCAGCCATGATCAGAGACAGATGTGATTACGGAAGAATGATCAGAGAGATGCAATGTTGGTGGCTTGGAAACGGAGGAAGGGACCATGAGCCATGGAATGTGGGCAGCCTCTGGAAACTGGAAAAGGCATGGAAATGGACAGATCCTTCCCTAGAGCCTCTAGAAAGGGAAGCAACCCTGCCAACACCCTTTTTTTTGGAGGGGGTGCGACCCAGGGAAACACATGTTGGACTTCTATCCTACAGAACTATGAGATAATTTCTGTTGTTTAAAGCCACAAGTTTGTGGTCAGTTATTACAGTAGCAGTAATAGAGTACATATACACAGAAACTTGGGCAAAAACTTACACAGACCTTCCTGAACCTCATCCTCAGAAATACATAAAAGCTCCTTGTGCTCAAAAGAACTCAATATACAACATGACAGCTCGGAGAGCTGTAGGTATGAAACTAGTTGGCATTCCTGGAAAGATCAATGCCCACCTCATGACCTCAATCCACTCCAAAATCTCACTTCTACTAAGATAGATTTATTTTCTGAAGAATAACTACTCCTTCCAGCCTTACCCAAATGATGTGTGACCCCAAGGAGCAAGGTGGCTCCTTGCTACAGAGGGATCTTTCTTCCTTTTCTTACAGTGTTCTTTATGTTAATAGCATTCTCCCCCAACCCACTATCCCAACAAAAGTGGCATTTTACACCTGCTGAGACTTAGCTTGGCTTATTCCTTTATTCTGAACCAGACCTAGGTCTGGAGTGTCCCATTACAGTATCATGTCTCTATCAAGATCCTATTCAGCATGATATGCCCAAACCTGGCCAGATGCTAGCTTAAAACAGAAGAGAAATGTTATCAGGAATGTGAGCTACCTGATTCAAAGATGTTTTTAGCCTCAGATATCATTTCACCAGTTCATCAAATTTCACAATCCCTGTAATATTTTGAGATGGATTTTTTTTAAGTTCCATTAAAATGTCCCTTGGTGATGCCACCATGGTTCTGATAAATAACTGTAGTTTAAAGGTTACTTAACGAACAGTACTAAACATAACTGCCCTCACAGCACTCCTGATATGTAACTTAGCACCAGATCCTGCGATTGCTGACAGCGGTGTACAGAACAGTCTGGAATGTTGCTAGGTCAGAAAGTTCAATTCTGCGAAAATGGGACATGAAAGATGGGAGATGGGGAGAAGAAAAAGACAACAAAGTATTTACGATCCTATGAAGGTTTGCTAAGGAGCAGAGGAAGAGAGATACAAAACGGGACACAACCGTTTTAAGTTTACTGAACATCAAGCATCTAAATGCAAATACCATTTTCCCCTATTGGCCTCTGTTAAATATCCACCCCAACAGGACCACCAAATATTCTATATATAAGCATGAATGACTTTGTTCTTGCTTTTATTTGTTTGCTTTTATACTTTTTTGAAATTTGCATGAGGATATAGTTGACTTTATTCTTGCTGAGAGAGATAGTCATCAGGCTGGTGAGTGACTGACTAAATTGATTCTAGTAGCAAATAATAGCTTTCTTACAATAATACCTCAAATAGAAGGGAGAATGTCCTGATTAGTGGAGAAATTATAAGGCTGAATCCAACAGGTATTACCTGAGGTCAGGTAAGATTAACACATAAAAGAAGTCAGCTCGTGAAGAGGGTTATAAAAGGTGCCCATGAATCCACCAGGATAGTGAAGCACCCTATCTTTGAGGTCCCCTTCAACCCTTTGAAGTTCTATTATTCTAAATTTAGTATATTGGATATTTAAAAGTACAACTGCACAGCACAGCCAATCTTCTCTATAGTTGTTGATTTAGACTGTGCTGCCTTAGAAAAACAATTCTAAAGGTCAGGCTCAGAAGCGCAGCCCTCCCTTTCCACTGAGTGAGGGCTATGATTACACTGTACACAAGATCCTACAAAGACAGCTGACACAACTAGTGATTGAATTCTTTCTTCTGTTTATTTCCAGAAGAGACTTTCCATAGACAGCTGCAATGCCAGGCTCCCCAACAGAATGTCATGCCAACCTTTCTGCAGGTTGCTTTCCACCCACATCCTTGCCCTGGATCCAGGGCTGTCTCCAGCAGGTCTAGCAGGCTAGAGAGACCATCCCTGGGGCTATGTCAGGGCTAAGGTACTGGAAGACACTTGGGTCAGCACAGAATCTGCACCTGCCATGCTGCAATCAGACATTTGTGGGTTCAAATTCTGGCTCAGTCTTTTTCACTTGTGTGACATCAGGCAAGTGCTTTAATATCTTTCAGACTATGAGTACACAGCTTGATGAGAAAGTGGAGGCCAAATGAGAGACTATGTAAAAATCAGCTGGTATGGTGCCTACCTGGTCAATACCAATTTATCACTATCACAAAGGAAAATCAAATTCCCTCTACCATAGAATAAAGAATAAGAATGGATGAAATCAGAATTTCTCTCCAAGGGCAGGACCTGTCTCCACTTCCCCTGAGCCTTAAGGTAGATTACCTTCAAATGCAAGACAGAGAAAGTAGGTCATTTACTTTTCTCTTAAACTCACTCAGCGATTCTCCTTCTAGGCCCCTTTAAGCAGTTTTTCACACTGTAAGGAATGCCAACAAAAGTCAGAAAGCCTTGCTTCTTGTGTGGGGGTGGCAAGCACACAGTTGGCATTTCGGAGAAAGGAACCACAGGTACAGCATGGCTTCTGACAATGAAGGGCCCACCTTGGTTGAAGTCGCACTGCTTCTTGGCACCTGAAGGCATTGTTTTGTGGACTCTCATGAGCTGGCGTTCCTGCTCTCCCCTGACACTCTGACTGACTGGATACCACATGCTCTGTCTCCTGCAAGAAGAAAGAGCAAAAGTAGATGAGCTGTCAACAGCAATCAGTTCCATATCATTATTAAGCTGGAAGTGGGTCTCAGGGCAGGGAAGCAGAAATGCATAACACATTCTGCTGATTGTAATATGGGAAGGGAGCCAATTCAGAGGTTCACATTTTTAAAAGCTTCTATCAATCAGCTGCTGCAAGATTACAGAATAAAGAAAAAATAATAATAATGAATCTAATGTCCAAAAGATATGGCATAGCCATACAATAAGAATTTTATAGACATTAAAAATGATCCCATAGAAGAATATTGAATGAATAGATACATCTGAAAAGATAATTCATAGAACAATATTTATAGAAGAGGCTTGTTTACGCAAAAATAAACATATGTATGAATGTTCTTACAGACACATACCCCCCCACACACACGAGATTGGAATAAGTTGAATCAAAATCTTAACTGTGACTAACTCTGAGATGTCATGTTTATTTATTTTTGGAGCCCATACATATTTTTTAAGTTTTCTACAATAAGCAAACATTATTTCCATAGTAAGAGAAAAATTTAAGTTAATCTGAAAACTAAAGAACAAATAATTTTTATAAATTCCAGATCCCAGGAGTCCTTGATATCTCTCCCTCATCCTGCCCCCACCAACAACACACACACACTATTGCCATTGGCTACACTGCAGCTAACGAAACCACAATGTGGTTTAACCATGATACAATTGCTCATTAACTTAAAAAAAATTCCAGAGTGCTAAACACTCTACAGTATATCATAAACACACCAAAACTAAAACTAATCTGGATTCAGTACAAAGACATGCATACATACCAAAAGTGAAAGATTTATATATATTCAACAGTTCCACTACTATCATCCTCAAGCTATGTCAAACCTCTAACTAAAAAATTTTCTTTAGAGTAAAATAAAACTTCTTTAACCTAGTAAAAGAGATGCTAAAACAAAAATCTGTGAAAATTCAGTAACTCCAGATGGGTACCATCATACAGGAAAATTATTCAAGTAATACAATGAATTTAGGTCTTCTAGTGCAATATATTATGGTCGCAATAGAGACCCAGCTCCTCTATTAGGGTGTGGGTTGAAGTCATTACAAGTGTCAGTGTGTCAGGTGTCTTAGGAATCATGTTTCCAGCACACTAGAACAACATAGTGAGGCAATTTGCTAAGAAGTCTTCACAAGCCACTAAAACAAAATCATATGAATGCCTTCATAGGAAAGGGGTAAAATGGGTCCAGCTGGGCAGAGCTACAGGAAAGGAATTAGCCCTATCAAGATCCTCTCTTAAATTCTTCAAAGCCTCCAGCTTCAGATAAGAAGACACACAACATGAAAAAGTTTCCATTAGCATGCACTAATTCCCTAGACTTAGTAATTGCTGGAGAAAAATTCTGTAGCTACCCAAATATTGGTCAAACTCCCCCACACAATGGTTTTCATGTGAGACAGAGTTCTGCTACTTGTTCAGTGAATGATCTTGGCCAAATTATATAAATGATGTGGTCTCAGTTTCCTTTTCTGTAAAATGAGGATAACACCATCAGTTCCACAAATGCCTGTCAACTGGAGGCATACGCAGATACCAACTACTACTGATAACAATACTGCTTTTATAAAAATTTTCTTAAAGCTCAATATTCTGAACCCAGTGCTCAGGTAATCCTTGGAGAATTCACCCCAATGAGTTCAGCAAAAGAAAATCCATTTGTGTGGTGGAATGCTTATTTCACGTTTTTATACCAATAGCAATATTATTTTAAATGCTATATTTAGAAGCCTCAATAGATGTGGGTCTTCAGAAATGGCCCTTCTGAACTCTAAAAAGTTTAAACCAAAAATGTCCATTTTATTACACTTTATCTTTTTAGGAAAGAGTAGTGCTTGTTTGTTTTTTTTTCAAAGACAGTATTTTATCTAACTCTTTGAACCCTCAAGGGGTTGAGAAGGGTGAGAAAGGCCAAACACTGCTGGATTACCTTGGATCTAGGACGTATCTTAGAGATGAATAACAACTTTGAGAAAGTGCCTCCTTAATATGCTTAGATCAGAGATCTCAAAGGACTACAAGAGAAGAACTCTTCTCTAGAATGGGAAGATAAGGAGTATTTGGACACAGCTGACTATCAAGTCCCTGATTCAAATGGGGAAAAGACTGGCACTGTCACCTATGTTTCTTTTCCCCACCAAGAATTTCAAACCTCAAGATAGTAGGGAGAATTGAGGAAGACTATGTAAGAAGTCTGATACAAATTATCCTAACGCTGATGAATGGAACAGGCTCTGATGTGATTGTCATGACAGGCTCCCCTTCCCAATGCCAAAAGTTAGATCGTGCTTCAAAGTTCTGATCTCCAAGCCCGCCTCAGATCAGAAACCCAAGCACAGCCTTTCTTAGAAAATACTGAATTTATTCTTCCATCCAAAGACCCTTATGATCTTGGAAAATATTTCACTCATAAGAAAAGGAATAAAGATTTTTTAGTTTAGTTCCTTCCACTCCATTATCTCCTCATGGAATGACCACCTGTGGGCCAATAGCTCCAGCAAAGCTTACATGGGAATCAGTGAGCCTTCAGATGCTTCTAATTTCTAGGCTTTAAGTCTTCTAGCTGATGCCCTAAACAGCCTGAAGCAGACACAGGCCTTCCTACTACTGTGCCCCAAGTAAGTTTCTGACCCACAGAAACCATGAAAGGTAATATATGATTATTGCTATTTTAAGTTTTGTGGTTATTTGTTATGCAACAATAGATAACTAAAACACATTACCTTTCCTCTGTTCTAAGATACCATCAATTATAAGCCATCACTGGTTGGATTACATAACAGTCTTTTAGGAAAAAAAAAATAATGCCACATAAAATGCATCCATCAATTTTAAGAAACATTCAAAATGAGAAAGGTGAAAGTCTGAACATATGTGTGCATTGACATCAAGGAACTACACAGCATGTCCAGGACAGCCTGACATGTGACAACCCAAGAAATCTCAACATAAGAACTCACAGGGAACAGGGGAGGAGAACCCAAGGCTTAGCTGTCTCAACTTTAAAAAATGATTTCATGCTTTCTGCTAAAGAAAGAAGACACTAGAAATGGGGATATCATCTGCTGAATTAATAAAACAGTAGCTTTCAAAGGTCTTGTGCTGCCAGCTGCCATTTATTCATAAAGATATAAAGGAATGGCCGGGCGCGGTGGCTCACGCCTGTAATCCCAGCACTTTGGGAGGCCGAGGCGGGTGGATCATGAGGTCAAGAGATCGAGACCATCCTGTTCGACATGGTGAAACCCCGTCTCTACTAAAAATACAAAAATTCAGCTGGGCATGGTGGCGTGTGCCCATAATCCCGGCTACTCAGGAAGCTGAGGCAGGAGAATTGCCTGAGCCCAGGAGGCGGAGGTTGCGGTGAGCCGAGATCGCGCCATTGCACTCCAGCCTGGGTAACAAGAGCGAAACTTCGTCTCAAAAAAATAAATAAATAAAAAATAAAGGAATAAGTACAAAATAAGAATAGTAGTGCTCAATCAAATTTATCTGCCTCTATAAGAGATTTATTTAGCCAGACGCATGAGAGGCCAAGGCTTACTTCCTTGGTAAGCCCTTTTCTCTGTTCCAACTGGACTCCACCACCTGGTCAAAGTTAACTAAAGGACTGCCAAAGAAAGTCCTTAGAGTAAATAATGTATTTGTAAAAGATTGAGAGTTAACATTTTGTCTCCACCCCCCCCCCAAAATAGGTGACAACATCAAGAAAGGAAATAAAGAACACATTTGATCACCTTTGCGCATTTACACTTCATCACTCTGTTTAGAATTGGCCGTAGCATTGAGCTCAAAAGTTCTAGAACATTAAAGTAGGGTATGTATTCTAAAATAACTGAGATATATTTTTACCTAAAAACAATCACTACTGTATATAAAGCATTTTGATATTTGAGAGGGTTATAGAGAAGTAAATAAGACAGTCTTGTCCCCGAAGAACTTTAAAATCTACTGTTTTCATAGGCTAAAGGGTAAGAGAGCAGATTCTAACTTTCTACTTCTATGTTAATGTGTTTGTCAAATGGTCAGATCCAAGCTGACCAAGGAGAATGAGGGAAAAAGCCAAGATCCTCTGCTCCATGCTTTGTCTTCCTACTACCTGGCTAACTGTAGCCTGGATGGACACCTGGAAAAAAGGGCATCGCACATCTTTTCCTGTTCCCTGCCATTTTCCTCTTCCTCTACCCTCCACCTCACCCCTAGTATGTCCCAAGTCTGCCTCAGTGGGGTGATTTGTTGGTTCTCTGCCAAATGCAGGGACCATCAGGTTGACTATGTTCTGAGATAGTTCATAAGAAAGCTGTCCATGAAACAAACATCATTTAGGCTATCTATCTGATCCAGGTACAGAGGCTAGGACAGTGTACATGATAACAAAAGGAAAGCTATTACCTCAAGAGGCTCAAAACCCAAACTTGGTTAAGGAAAAATTAGCTGCCCCTTAACCAGAATGGTGAAATACGATATTTGGTTCTTATTGGGATTTTAGTGAGTTCAACTGACTCTTGTAGGACTTGGGATAATCTAGTTTTGATCAAATGGCATGGCCGTTGCTTCAGGCCCTTCCAAGTTCTTGCATTCGTACAAATCCATGGACATAAAGAAAAAAATGAAAACAATTCTCCATTCTCATCCCCGTTCTTGCCCATCTGCTCTGTCTGAAAGTCAGAAAGTTACCTTAGGCCCTCAAGTATGTACACCCTGTAAATCTTCCTTCAAAGATGTGATCAATCAAAACACCACATCTTCATCTTCTCATACTTGAGGTTTTCTCTGTGTCCATTCTATCGCAAAATTGATAAAATCTTATTTTTTTCAACTGCTAGATTAAATTTTAAATTAAATTGTTCTGTAGCTTAATCACTCTATTGTTAATAAAAATGCCTTGCATTTATGAGAGCAAGTACTTCCCAAAAGCTCTAATTAAGACA